ACTTGTGAAAAAGGTTTATTGTTCTACCTGTGACTACTACGTACCTAAAAAGAAACATTATCATTAAACTATTGTTTTTAATAGTTCTCATGCTAAGCCAAAATTAGTGTTTTTATGTTTGAGTTACATCATATATACGCGTGAAATTGTGAATTTCAGGCCTTAACTGCAAGAGGTTTCATTATTTGGGATAAGATTTGTCTTTCATCATTTTACAAAAATAGCTTCGTCTAACAATACTACGTACTCACGCTCACTATGAATCCTTCATTAAAATTCAATTGATTGTCGATCGCTAGCAAATAAATACTAAGGGTGCTTGCTACTGCCTAAAGTTGAGTATTCAGGGTACTGCGGTGCATAATTCTGCTCACGCTAAAAATAATTTTTTATATTGTTTTCATAAAAGGCATGTGATTTAAATCACTTTTTGAAATATTTTTAGCGTGAGCAGAATTATGCACCGCAGTACCCTGGACACTCTACTAAGGTGCAAACACCATGGCATTGTACGTATTTGTTCTTATATAATTTTGTTCATATTACATTATTGGATGCATGTATATTGTTTCCATTATTACAGATTTAATAAATTTATTGATAATTAGTTCTGTGTAGAGATGCTGGTGAAATTAATTTCATCAAATTTCACTATTTCAACATTAATTTCATCAATAGCGATAGTGGTGAAATTATCATTTTAATTTAATTTGACTATAGTTCCAAAATTTCTATTCCACTACGTAATACATAACAAAAAGTGTTTATAGCTGTTTATTTTACAGGGGTTAACCCAAATTCTGAAATTACAAGTGAAAGAGAAAATAGTAAATTGTTTAATATGGATTGCGCAGCAATAATTCTTAAGACATTAGGAACAGAAGTTCTGATGCTATATCTTCTTGTTATTCAAGCAAGTAATAAATGGAAAATCATATATGCAAGAAATTTAAAATTTTTGTTGATTGCTTTGTTAGAATTAAAAAAGTTTTAACATTTAAAACAAACAATAAAACATATACGAAATTTGAATAACTTAAAAAAAATTGTATTGTTTATTGGTTTGAATAACACTACAATGACTTGATTGTATAATCATTTAGTTTCAATTCAGATCAAATTGTCTTTAGTATCAAAATTCTTTGTGCTGTCAATTTGTTTTCGATTAAAACGGATTCCTATTGCAGAAGGATTTTCAAATTTTTCTGTTGACTCCTCATCAAAGCGAATGACTCACCAATGCAAGTTATCTTTTGTTTAAAACAAAAAAATACAAAAAAATTAAATTCTCATCGTTGGTCTTTTAAAGCCATTTGAAACCAAAAATTTTGATGTGGGCACAAAACCCTCGCAAACCTCAGTTTACCACTTGCGGAAAGGTATGCATATTTAATTTTGTTTGAAGTTGGCTGATGCTGAAAATTGAACTTTAATACTGTAAGATTTAGGTTATATTACTAAT